GTCAGCCTTCAGTATTAGAAAGAACCTGCTCACTCACCCTTACACTGCCAGTTATGTTACTTCCAAATTGGCCACCATTAGGGCACCATCTTGGCCCACAGAAATAGGTCCTTTGGGCTAGAAATAAGGTTAAAAGTCACCAGTGTGGTCAGCCAGCATCTCCCACAACACAGAGGGTGGACTCCAGACCCCTTGTGCCGGCTGAGCCTCTCGCCCAACTTCAATATCTTCTCAGTGGCCACACGCTTTCACTGGGGAGACCACTGGGGCTAAGAGCGAGGACGGCGTGCACACAGAACCCAGGGTGCAGGCAGTGAGGCCCTGCCACCTCAGTGCCCCCTCTCCCAAAAGTGTCACCTGTGCCCATTCATTGCTTCTCCGTAGTGTGTGTTGGTTTGAAATATACTCAACAGACCATGCTATTGACTCAGCAGTCTCATCCCTGGGGGATGACAGGCTCCAGGGGGGCTGTCTTCATTGGGGTGACTTCCACCAAGAGGAGTATGCCTGTCCTTTGTTTTGTCCAGATCTCACCAAGAGCCGTTTGCCACTATGCAGTCACGTGACCGGGGCCTCATGGCAGGTGACATCTGTGCTGCTGGGACACAGAGTCTCGGCCTGGGTGTGTCTGACTATTTTATTATGTCAATTTGTGTGGACATGCCCAGGCAGTTCCATGTTCAAAAACAGAGTTTACAAGTGACTTTGTTTTATAGTAAAGACATTCTGTTTGACTTTAAAAAACAAGTTAAATGAGATACCACTTAAATTTCAAGGTAGAAAAGGAAGTTTCTAGGATATTGGCTATAGGAAGGGGGCATTAAGATTAAGAGTCAGCAGTGTAAATAGCTCGGGGTCCAGACTGCTCCCCACTCACAGGCCCCACCTGCCTGCCAAGGAAAACTCAGCTTGAAATGAAGCTCCTTCCCCGGGACCTGGGGAGATCCGGACAGTCTGGAAGCTGGTCAGCAGCACATCCTGCTCAGGGTGAGGCCTCACTGGCCCCTCTCCACCTGCACCCCGACTCCAACCCCTTGGCAATTCCTGTCAATTTCACATCAAAACCTGTCCAGAGTCCTCACTGCCCCCAAGCAGAGTCTCTGTGGTCTTTCCCCGGACCACACGGAGCCTGCGCACGGGGCCTCCTGCTGCCATCCTCACCCAGTCTGCTCTCCCAGGTGACCAGAGCAAACCTGCTTCCCCTCGCATGGGGCACATTACTCCTTCCTCAGAGCTCTCCACTGCTCCTCACCTGAGTCATCAGGGCCAAAGCCAACATTCTTTCCGCATCTGTGGGGTGTGCCTGAGCGGCCCCCACATCCCTCAACCTCCCCCTCACCCACCATCTCAGTCCTGCCTCCTAGCACTTTCTAGATGCAATTTTATGATTTGTGTCATTGTTTGATCATTGTCAAACGACTGGACGGCGACTCAGCGGTCAGGGGCACACCGTCTTGCCCGCCCCTATTCTTCGTGCCCAGCACAGAGCCCCTTTAACATGGCTGGAGCAACAGCTCTAAGAAGGCGCCAGGCTCGTTCCTGCAAGTGCTCAACTCTGCATGGGCTTCTTATGCCCTTGTTTTGGTGGCTTTGCCTTGAAAATCCCTCTCCCGATGGGCAGGAAGAGAAAGTGGAACAACTCCAAAAGAGAAACAAAAACATGTTCCCAGCGCTCAGCTTTTCCACCTCTGCTTTTGCATGTCTCAGAAAATGACTGTCTTAGTCAGCTGGATCTGTCATAACAAAACCCCATGCACTGGGTAGTTTCAACAACAGACATGATTTCTCACAGTTCTGGAGGCTGGAAGTCCAAGCTCGAGATGCAGTAGATTTGGTTTCTGATGAGAGTTCACTTCCTGGGTTGGAGATGGTCATCTTCTCGCTGTGTCCTCACATGGCCTTTCCTCTGTGCGCTCTGAGGAATCACAGCTCACTCTCTTGAGTGTGCTCTCTCTCTCTCGCTTGCTCTCTCAGTTTACTTCTAAAGACACCAGTCTCATCACAGGGGTTCTGCCCTCATGACCTCATCTGACTCCACTTACCTCCCTAAGGCCTCCTCTCCAAATAGCAACTCTTTGGGTGTTAGGGGTAACTTGTAGATATTATGGACTAAAATTGTGTCCCCCTAAAATTTTTTCCAGCACATGTGGCTCCATATTTTCTTAATAGAATCCCACAATTTTAGGGGGACACAAACATTTAATTCATAACATCTACTAATTACTCGTCTTCACCCCTGCACTAATCAGATCAAAAGTTGATTTTTAGTCATCCTTAAAAGTGAACTACCCAACATGGTAGCCATTAGCATATTTCCATTGTTGTCACTAACCAAAGTTCAAGAACATTAAAAATTTAGTCATTCAGGGCACTAGCCACATTTCAATGCTCAACAGCCACAGGTGGCTGGTGGCCACCATTCTGGACAAATACAGAATATTTTTGTCATCACAGAAAGGTTTCTAGGAAAGTACTATCTGAACAAATGGTCATTGATGAAACTTCACCCTATCTCCAAACATATTCGCAATCTCTGACTGTTCATGTGTCTCTCCAGTGGTTTTGGACATAAGGGCAACTGAATTAAACTGGTTGCACAGCCTCTGTCCTTCCTAAACCCAGCAGCGTCGGCTCCAGTGGGAGGCAGCGAGCCAGCCAACATCCATGAAGGTGACCGCCAGGATGGAGGTGCTGCCTGGTGCGAGAGTGCTCACCCGCCTGGGAAAACCTCACCCACTTCATTGTGAGCAGAACTGCTGACTCACACCAGGAACGCTGACCTCAGTCCAGGAACCCCAGGGAATCCAAGCCTGGCTTCTGTCTTGACCGACGCAGTCAAACCAGGCAGATTGAGCCTGCTCAAAATGGGCTGGGCCCGGACAGCCTGAATGTGGCTGCTGCCAGGAAGAAACAGGGCACCAGCTCCACTGTACCCCAGGTCCAAGGATGCTCACCATTCAGGGCTCAGTGTGCCTCGCTAATGAAATAAGCCCAAGGTGCAGGACTCGAAGGGTGATCTTCCCTGCTCCCCAAGTCACCACCTGGCTTGCAATCTTTTCCTTTCATAAGTGGTCTCGGAATCTGGGGTTCAGTTAAGAAAATATGGAACCACATGTGCTGGAAAAAATGCAAATGGACCCAGGCATCCTTACTTCTTCCACTTCCTGATGAGACTGAATAAGAGGGGCTGAGTAGTATAAAAAATAAATTCCTAAGATGGCAATCCTTGAGAGAAGGGAGCTGTATGATTACATAGTTCCGGGAGAGGACCACCCAAAAAGTTTAGACAGAGCATCCTTAGAGCTCATGACAGAGTCAGGAATAGTTTCTGTTCCTACCACTCAGAGTGGAAAACCTCAGAATTCAAGGGGTACTAGGCAGAATCCTCGGAGAGGGTTGCTTTGGTACTGGGAAAACTTTGTTAGGTGGAGAGAGACCAAATACAGCTCGACTTACTCAAGTTGAAAGCAAGGCTTGAATGATGTTTAAACCAGGTAAATGTATAACTAGTCTCATGTAACATGACCGCACTGCAGAACAAAAATCAAGACTATTCATAGGAATATAAAAATATTTGGCACCCAATAATGTCTGGGATCCAATCAGAACTTAGCAGCATGCAAAGAAGCAGGAAACTGTGACATATAATGAGAAAAATCAGTAACAACCTAGAAGAGGCAGATGATAGAATTAGTAGGCAAGGACAGGAAATAGTTACTGTAACTATATTCCATCTGTCCAAGGAGCTGGAGGAAAGATGGGATATGTTAAGTAGAGACATAGAAGACATTAAAAAGTGACCAAAATAAAACTTGTAGAGATGAAAGCTATGTAAGAGATGAAAAATGCCAAGGGTGTAATTAACAACAGATCAGATTAAAAGAAAAGATGAGTGAACTTGAAGACATGGGGTGGGAGGACAGGAGAAGAAATATTTGATGAAATAATGTTCAGAAACTTCCAAATTCCCAAAAATCATAAGCTCACATGTTTGAGGTTCAATGATCCTGAAGTACCGGAATCATAAAGAAAGCTATACCGAAGCACATAAAAATTAAATTGCCTAAAGCCAGTAATAGGGAGAAAATCCTAAAAGCAAAGGAATCAGTGCAACATCAGAGTTATACTGATGTCATTTCCTTATTTACAAATCATGTATGAGTTAAATATTGACTGAGAAATACGCAGTATAATAGGTTGTGCTCATGTTTGCCAATATTTGCAAAAGAAATTATGGATGGGTTCAAAATCTAGCACAAGTGATTAACTGTGGAGGGCTTGGGAACTGAGTGGATGGGGGAATAAGAGTAGAAGAGATTTCTGTAGATGTTTAAACTAGTTAAATGCATAATCTGCTTAAACGACTGCTTAAATGTATTTTTTTTTTCTTATCACCAAAAAGAAATATATTGGTGAGAGGGGAAATAGGGAGTAATGGAGAATAGACCTGGGTTTCTTTTTTGGGCTGATGAAAATGGGGGATTGGATAGTGGTCATGGCTACATAACTTTATGACTAGAGCAAAGCCACTAAAATGCACACTTTAAAAGGATGAATTTGATGGTATGTGAATCATATTTCAGCATAAATTAAATCAACTAAAATACAGAACTAAAGGAAAGCACACAGGTTCATTCTTAAAAAAAAAAAAAAAAAGAAAAGAAGAATCAAACAATGTTAACACAGGAAGATCATCACATCCAGAGCTTTCTAGTGCACACAGGCATTGTGTGGGGAGAAAGTTCCTGTTCAAATCACCTGGGAAAACTATCAAATTCCATCCTTGGAGAGTCACAAGGTGCACGGGACTGGAAAAGTTCCGGAACTACTTCAGGGAAGATGCCCACTTAACTTTGTGTCTCACACTGTTTACCAAATATAATTGATATATTTGACCATCATGCCCTCCTCTTTACTGTTTCAATGAACATTTGTGAACACAAGAGCTAGGAAACAGACCATGCAAGTTTGGTGAATTGACCAAAGTCACATGGCTCTCTCGGGCCAGGGACAGTGGCACCAGAATGATTTTGATCTCAAAGTAGTTAATGATTTAGGTTTCAGAAACCCCTCTGCCAACTTGTGTATTTATTTACTGATTTATCCCCCATCACCACCTTCGAGGTCCCTTTCACTCCCCTCCCTTAGCCTCATGGCAGTGTCAATGTCCACTAGGGTTTTGATAAATGTCAATAATTTACTCTATTGGACTCTCTGCTATGTAAATATCCATGTCATAAAAGGGCTAAGAGGAAAAACAAAAAGAGCACCCAGTCTTTATGGGCCTTTATGAACTCTGTCTGAATGTGCCATGAATTATTCATAGCTGCCCGCAAAAGTCCCATGGGGTCATCTCCCTATGACACCACTTTCACAGGTGAGGAAACCGAGGCACAGAGAAGTCAAGCGTCTCAACCACAGATGTGAGGCACAGCCAGGATGGAGCATAGCCCAGGTCCACAGTGCTGGACCCCTGCATGGCACCAGCAAGTTCTTACAACACACACTCAGATGTTTTTTCTTCTCTTTCTTAATCTTTGTGGTCATTTATGTGAATAGCAGTGTTTAAGCAGGACATGCCAAAAAGAAACAAACAACAAAAACTCAAACCCAAAAGAAATGCATTTCAGCTATAAAAAACCCCTGTGTGAACTTAAAAAAAGATAATACACAACCAAGCAAAGGCTGTGAACTTTTCTCTTCTACGTTTGTTGTACGTTTGGAGGGACAACGTTATCCAAATAGATACAGATCTCAGACCAGGGCCTGGGGTGGCAATGACTCTGCTGAAGTTTCTGGAAGTTCAGATTAGGTAGAAAACCTAGGCAGGTCAGTTGATTGTATTCTTGCTTGCCCTGTGACCTTATACAAGCCACTCTGCTGCTGTGCCTCAGTTTACACACCTTTAAAAAATGGGGTAGGCATCTCCTTGCTTCCCCCAAATTCTGCTTGTAATTCTTAGAAAAGATAGAGACTCTTCTCAGCTTCTAAACTAATTTTACTCCAAGAAGACTGAGGCTTTCTGGCCTAAAACAGTCTCAATCTCCCTCTTCATTTCCTCATTCGCTTTTAAAACTAAGCTCAACCCATGTCTTCTATTCTGCAATCCTACAGAGAGTTTATTTCTCTGCTGGAACAACTCGAAAAAAAAAGTTAATAGGAAGCACATGGGCATGGTGTGTGAGTGTTCTGTGTGTTTGTGTTTGAAAAAAATATTTAAGGAGGAATATGTCAGGCTTGCAAAATGTCTGGGCTGCCTCAAGAGCAGTTCATAGCCATTAGCATTAGGCTGAAGGCAGTTAATTGGGACAAAGTCCAGCTGTTGTTGTGGTCCTTCTGGCATCTGGGCCAGGAGGACGATAAGAAAATAACCATGGTCGGGTGCGGGGACAGAGCAGATGTTTTTCCATTTGTGAAGGGCTGATGGGGATTGAGTGGGTGGGGGGTAGGGGTAAGGTTGAGATCAGGGTTCACCCATGCAGAATCGTCTTCTAGATGGATCCACAGGAGTGTGGAGAGTAGGGTGGTGTGTGGTTGTGTGCCTGGGCTCCCAAGGGTAACTGCACCCTTCAAATCCCATGGCCACAGTCACATGACCGAGGGCAAATTACTTTAGCACTTTGTGCCTCAGTTTCTCCATTGTAACGTGGGGGTAATGACAGACTCTGCCTCATGGGGCTGTTGGGAGGATTAAGGGGAAGTATGTATGCAGAGTTCAGGGCAGTGCCTGGCAGCATGAAGAAGCCCAGGAAACAGCACTGAAAGGTCAGTGTGAGCACTGGGATTCTGGAAACCCAGCTCTGAACACTTATTGGTTCTGTGATCTTGAGTAAGTCAATTTTCCCTCTGAGCCTCATTTTTTGTGAAGCAGGTTTGATGGTGCCCACCTTAGGTGGTTGCTGCAAGGACCAGAGAGGAAATATCACCGTTTTACATGTCCTGCTCCATGCTCCTATTTCACGTCCATCTCTCCCCTCTTTACTCATGACACCCAGATTCCCAAGTCTCCAGTGGAGTCCCTCCCCACTAAGGAGGTTCTCCTGCCTGCAGCCTTTGCTCTGCTGGGCCTGCTCTGTCTCCAGCTGCTCATGTGGTTGCTACACCCCCTCTGTTCCAGCCTCACTGGACTCTGTTCTGCACTTCAAACACATAAAGACCTTTTCCTCCAAACAACAAGATGAAATGGCAGCCTACAGTGTGGGAGGAAAGCTTTGCAAAGCATATATTAGAAAAGGGATTAATATCTAAAATATATTTAAAAAACACACAAGAACAATAAGCTCAAACAATCCTATCAAAAAGTGGGCAGAACTGCACAGACATTTTTCTAAGGAGAACAACAAAATGGGCTAGAAGCACATGAAAAGATGTTCATCATCTCTGATCTTCAGAGAAATGCCAATCAAACCACAGGTGAGAGACCAGCTCACACCAGTTAGGATGGCTATCATCAAGAAGACAAGACAAAAGGTACTGGTGAAAAGGAAGCCCTTAGACACTGTTGGACACTAAACACAAATTAGTCCAAGATCTATGGAAAATATGGAGGTTCCTCAAAAACACTAAAAATAGACCATAAAATTCAGCAATTCCTCTTCAAGGAATATAATCAAAACAGGCTTTCAATGAGATATATACACTCCCATGTCTATTGCAACACTATTCCCAGTAGCCAAGATATGGAACAAACTACATGCCCATCAGCGGTTGAATAGAAACATACCATGGAATATTATTCAGCCATGAAAAAGGAGGAGATCCTGCCATTTATGACAACATGGATAGACCTTGAGCATGTTATGCTAAATGAGGCAAGCCAGACAGAGAATGATGACACTACGTGACATCATTTATATGTGGGGGGGAAATCAAAGAATAAAATGGTGGTTACCAGGGGATGGGTTGGAGGGATAGGCTTGAAGGTGTAACAGATAATAAATAAGCCAGGGATTTCATGGGCAATAAACTGAATATAGACTATAACCTGTTCTATAATGATGTGAAAAATACTGCTTCAATGACAATCACTTTGAAATACCCCTTACATTTGTGAAATGTAACATGTTAAATTAAAAAAAAAAAGATATTTCTCCCCATACAATTTTTGCATTGACTAGTCCCTGTGCCTGGAAAGCTCATCCCCCAGGCCTGCACATGCCTGGTTCTGCCTCAGAGACCTTTTGGGTCCTTTGTCCAATGTCACCTCTTCAAAGAGTCTTCCCTGATGATTCAATCTAAAGGTACATAAGTCACCTCTCCTGACCTTTCAACTGCTCATCATTCTCTATTCAAATACCATGTTTATTGCTTCATTGTACTCAACCTCTTCCAAAATTAGCCTGTTTATTTGCTGCCTTATTTATTGTCAATCTCCCTCTTGTCACAAGGGTAGGTATAGGTTACCTATTCTGTCTACTATTGAAACTCCATTACTTGAGATAGATTCTGGCACATAGTAGGTGTTCAATAAATCTGTTGAATAAATGAACAAACAACTGTACACCCAATGCAGGCAGTGCCTTCGAGACACACAGGGAGGGGCTGAAGCATACACTGACCGTGCATCTGGTAGGTGTATGGGCTCTGTCCAGTGGGTGGGGTGCTGAAGCTGGAGCCATAGCTGAGGAATCCACTCTGGCCTGGGGAATGGTTCAAACTGTCTTCTGTCTTGATACCTTAGAAGGAGGAAAAAGAAGCATCAGTGACATGTGATTAGGATGCTTCCTTGTCATCTGTAGAAGAGCGGCTAAGTCAAGACTGCATGCAATTTTATCAGCTTTCAAACCTGGAGCTGTAAACAGGCTTGTGAGCCAAAGGTAGCCTACAGACATAGTTTAATAGAGCTGAATATTTTAAAGGAAAATCTGAATTTGCTGCTTTTGTTTAAAAATCAGCAGATTTTACCAAAAATTCTGATTTATGATTTCCCATGAGCAACAGGATGGTGTGGTCTGTGTCCCCCCGTGACAACAGACAATCCCATAGGCTCCCTAGTTTGCATGTTTCCCAGGTCACCACAGTTTGTGCTGTCTTGGTGACATTGAGGAGGTTGGTTTTAAGGAATTATTTTTTCATTGTAGCTTCACGTTTTTTTTTTTACATCTTAGGACACTATCAAAAGTGGATAAGGGAAGGCAGGCCTGCCAGGTTTCATAATTTGCACATGCCGTCAGCTTCTTGCTTCCTGCCTAGCTCTGAGGGTACTGAGCCTGCAAATCACCTGCTCCACAGAGTAGCACCGTGCATGGCTTAACTGTCCATCAGGATTTTGGGTGATGGTGTTAAGTGAACCATCTTTGCTCTGTAAGATGTTCTGGAGGTAGTTTTTTAATTGTTACTTCCCTCTTCACCTACTCACGCCCATAAATGAAGAGAATGCTTACTGGTGTAAAAAGATGGAATAAAACCTCTTGTGGGCTTCCATAAGAGGCTCAGGAATGACCTGCAGGTTTCACACAGCCTTCAGCTAATATGGTGGTACCACCAAGTAAGCAAGTGAATTGCAGAGGTGTCAACAACAGAGACACACTAATTGTTCATTCCACAAGTGCTAACTCGGCACTACAGTGGGCCAGGAGTGACAGATTTTTGACACTGGAGACACAGCATGAATGAATAGTCAAAATATCTTTGTTTGGAGCTTATAGTCTGGTGGGAGGAGACTGAGAGTAGAAAAATAAGGGAAACACATAGTAGAGTTGAACGACACATAAACCACTCTGGTAAAATAAATTTGGATAGAATACAACTAGCTCCCAAACCCTGGCATGCTCAGCTGGCCAGACACACTCACTGATTCCCGCCACCGCATTTACTGCACACTAACTAACCCCCCACACAGGATTGAGTTTTTTGGATTCCATCTATAATAGTCTTAAGGTATTATGGAAAAGAATAAAGCAGGGAAGGGTTGGAGAGCTGGCTAAAGGAAAAGGAACAAATGGAATTTTAAGTAAATGATCTGGATAAGTCCTGTGGAAGGGTGACATCTGAACAAAGATCTAAAGGAAGTAGAGGGCCTCCCCGGTGGCACAGCGGTTGAGCGCTGGGTTGCGAAGCTGCCCGCAGCCTCTGCAGCGCCGGTTCGATCCCCGGCTGCTCCCCGGCCACCAGAGGAGGGTCCCACATGGCGCGCAGACCTCTCCTGCCGCCCGCTGCTCCCCTCAGCAGTGTACTTCGGTCCTTCTGCCTGCTCTGCTCCCCGCTCTGACTCTGGTGAATTCTCTCACCCTCCCGCGCTTCTGACTGTACCCAGTGCATGTATAAACAAAACAAACAAACAAACCAGCAAACAAATAAATAAAGCATGCCTCTATTAAAAAAAAAAATAAAAAAATAAAGGAAGTAGAGCAGCAAGACATTTGGATAGATATCTGGAGGTAGAGTGCCCAGGCAAAGGGAACAGAACAGGCAGAAGGAGGTGTGTGCAAAGGCCCTGAGGCAGGGTCATGCTTGGCCTGCTGGCAGAGCAAGCAGCAGAGTCCCATGTGGCTGGAGTGGAGGATTGGGCAGGAAGTGAGCTTAGAGAGGCCATGGAGGCCAAGACAGGGTAGTCAGAACATACTGAGAGGTCTTTGGCTATGATCTCCCTGAGTGAGCAGAGCCCTGGAGTACTCTGAGCAGAGGAACAATACATGCTGGTTTGAGTTTGCAACATCAACAGTCCCTGATGCAAACTCTTCATTAGCTCAGAGTTCTCAGTTCCTGGCTCTGTGATATTACTTAAGCAGTCCCTCCACTCTGAGCCTCAATTTTCCCATGAAAAAAATTAGAGGTTTGAATTAGGTCAGAGTTTTCCCAGCTACAATCACTTGTGTATATTTTGCTTGATTTTTCCATATCCCAGGACCATCAAAAAATTATTCATTTCATATACTTTTAAAATCAACTCAAATTAAAAACTCTGCTTGCTTTAATTAATAATAACCAAGAAAGTACAGGCTCACTAAATTACATATATTTTTCATGATACATATTGAAATAGATTAGCTATAATATTCTTTTAAAGTTCATTTGCATACCATGTGTTCCCAGTAGCACCCAGATCAGAGTGCAGTGAGTTACAAAGGGCTTTAAAGACCCTCCTCCAGCTCTCCCATGCTGTAGTTTAACTGAGCTCTTTGCTCTGACAATCTTGCTTGCTTCAACAGAAGACTTTTAGGCTCTGGTTTCTTAATGCATGAAACCCTGAACCAAGGAAGGTGAGTCCCTGCTTCCCGCCTCCAGGAACTTATCTGGAGGAAAAATCCTAGCCTTGCTTTGCAGGGGCAGTGTGGAGGCTGCTCCACACTTCTTTCTTGAGCAGTACAGGAAGATGGCAAGGATTTTCTAGATAGACATGGGAGGTCTACTACCTGCTTCCTATATTTCAAATTTCATAGATGCCAACATGGAAAACATGGCCACAATATTTCACAGCTCTCTCATCAAGAGGAGTCTATTTTCATCCTGAGAATCTCAGCAGCAGTCTTGTGACTTGTGATGACCAATGGAAGCGTCTGAAGTGCTATGTGTGAGTTCTGGGGACCAGGCATCAAAAAGACTTTGTAGTTTCCAGGAAATCTGAGACCACCATGCTGTGAGGAAGTCTGGGGGTAAAGGTCAAACAAGAAAGAGGCCCAGCCCTGCCAGCTGAGCCAGCTGAGCCTAGCTCTGAGCTGACCTGCCTGAGAGTCCAGATGAGACCAGCAGCAGGCTCTTCCAGCCAACCCACAGAACCATGAGAAATGATTCACAACTGCTGTTTTGGGTGTAATGAATACATGAATTGCCATATAGTCATATAATGGAATATTATATGGTGGTGAAAATAAATGAACTACATAGCTACCTGCATGAAGAGGGATAAATTTCACAGACCTAATTTGGGGGTGGATAAAGCAAGTGTCAAAAGAATGTATATTAAAAGATAATGTCTGGAAAGCTGCAAAGCAATGCAACATAATACTCTACATCAGGAGTTGGCAAACTATAGCCCATGGGCTGCAGATGACCTGCTGCTTTTTTTCATAAATACATTTTTATTGAAGCAAAGACACATCCACTCATTTATGTAATATCTGTAGCTGGTTTTGCATGACACCAGTAAAGTTGAATAGTTGCGATGGAGATTATGTGGCCTATAAAGCTGAAAACATTTACTAGCAAGTTCTTTATATTGACTAGCAAGTTGCTGACCCCTATTCTACAAAATGAAATGCAGAAGAATGATAAATGTCAAATTCAGGGCTGGGGATGCCTGAGAAGGAAAGTGGGTTATCTGTTCTTCACTTAAGTTGTATGGCCAGCTCGTGGTTTTTGTAGAGTTACTTTTCATGCTTTTACCTATGTCTGAAACGTTGCATAGTAAATTGAGAAAAAAAATACTCAGTACTTGTAACCTGCTTACCTCTAGTTTGCTTAATTTTTTGTTAGTTCCCTGAAGCTATTTAAACAAAGGTAATGCTCTCTGCCAAGAAGCAATGAAAAAAGTTTCCTAACAAGACTCAACAAGGTTTGTTCAGACAATGAGCAAACACTGCTTGCTTGGGTCCAGGTATATGCGAAAGGAACCGGCTCTTCATGCCATCTGTCATTATTCAGTGACATGGATGTCCTTGGTGGGTGGGAAAGCCTTGCCTCCACCACTGTGATTGGCCATTGCCTTGGGCAGGCCCTGGGAGCTGAGCCCTACAATATAGATCAGCACTGACGAATTATGGTCCCTGGGCCAAATCTGGTTCACCTCTGGTTTGTGTAAATAAAGTTTTTTTGGCACAAAGACATGTAAATAAAGTTTTATTGGCACATAGACATTCCCATTAGTTTACATACTGCCTGGTGCTTTCAGGACCCATAGTCAGAGTCCAGTAGTTGTGATGGGCACTGCATGGTCCACAAAGCTGAAAATATTTACCGTCAGGCCCTTTATAAAATGAGTTGACCTCTGGTGTGGACAATCTTGTTTAATCCACACAACAATTGGGGGTGGGGAGATAGACTTAGCTGAATGAGAGCACTGAGGTGCTCCCAGGTGTTGGGACAGCCAGGGGCAGAGGGCCAGAGGTGGGTGTGACCCTGGCGGGGCAACTCCAGGACAGGTGCTCTCACGCCTATGCCAGGGAATGGACTCTCAGAAAGTAACTGAGACGGTAAAACGACTGCACCAAATCAATTTCCACGATGCCATGTTTGATCTGGGGACAGGCCTAGTTTTTTCCTTTATGCTGGGAAATAATATGGCTTCATTTTTCTTGGCTGTCAGCCAGGCAGGGTCACACTTGTGTGGTTGTATCACACATCTTTTAGCACCGGAGGGACAGAGAGTTAGAAATGAGGCCCACACCTGTTGGTTGAGGTCTGTCATAGGTAATCCCCTGGGATTTAGGGAATGGCGCTCTCGATTAAGGGCTTGGACACCAGTCAGGATGCAGGTGTCATTCCCCTCTGTCTCCCTCCATTTATCTCTCAAAGGAGACTAATGATGGGGCCCTCTGGTAGGGTTGGCGGGGCGGGGTGGGGGGTGGGTTGTTGTTGTTAAGGAGCACCAGGTCATGGAGTTTTGAGAACTGTGGGTGGCAGAACTCAGCGAGGGTGATAATTTTCCAAGGCCCGAGCAACACCTCTAGACTTGCCATTCCCACCTCTAACGTAGCTCTTGAATCTGTCCACGTGTCTGGCCACGGCCTCTGGCCTCCTCCTTCCCCCAGGCTTTCTCTGACTTCCAGTTGCCCTTCCTGTGTCTCCTCTTGCAGCCAACCTCCAATCCAACCTCCTCAACAGCAGCCCAAGTGATCTTTAAAACACCAGATGGTGTCATCTGCTTATAAGCCCACCATGGAGTTCCTGTTCACTTGGAATAAAATCCCAGATCCTCCCCAGGCCGCTCAGGCTCTTCCCACCTTCCCGCCCCAGGTGCTCCAGCCACTGGGCTCGTGACTAGCCAAGCACCTTCTGCTTTCTGGGCTTTCCCACAGCCGGTCCCTGCTGCCTGGACGCTCTCCCTTTTGCTCTAGCTTGTGGCCATCTCTCAGTTCTCAGCTGAAGCAGGTCCTTGTCTAAAAGACCCCTCCCGGGGTCTCCCTGGTGGTGCAGGGGTTAAATCTCAGCACCGTGAAGCTACTGGCAGCCACTGAAGCATGCGTTTGATAACCGGTAGGCCAGGAAGCTGACTCACATGGCGCAGCAGACCTCTCCCGTCTTGCCCGCTGCTCCCCTCAGCAGTGTATTTCAGTAGATTCTCCTGTTCTGCTGCCCACTCTGTCCCTGGTGAATCCTCTCACCCTCTGTACCTCTGGCCTGCACCCCAGCTCTTGAATGCATAAATAAATAAAGCTTTTTAAAAATATTAAGTGTCCTTTTCCTGTATTTCCAATCTAAACTCAGGCTGCATTCATCACTCTGCATCTAACTGAGGCAAAGGGCAGAATAAAGACCATGATGATGGGGACACCAGGAGAAAGCAAGGGTTGGTCTGGTACTCACTGTAAGAGGGGATTCCATAGGCTTGTGCTGGAGGTGGGTAAGCCGTGTAGGGGGCGGCCTGCTGGATCCCGGCACTGTACTGCGCCTGGCCGTAGGTTGCCATGGCTGCGGGGGGCTGGCTGGGCAGGACACGTGGGCGAGGGCTGCGTGGAAGGAGAGCAGATTAACACTGCGAACCCAGCCTGGTATCCCTTCCTCCTTAATTTTCTCTCAACACCACCATTTCCCTTTGGGTATTTACTCTTTCCAGGGCAGAGACGATGTATATGGTCATCAAATCCCATTTCATTGTCCTCTTTCTGGACACTGGGAAGATTGTATTTCCTAGCTCCCTTGCAGTGGGGTCAGCACCAGGTTCTGCCCAACAGAATTTATGGCCACTCCCAGGGCTGGTCAGTAAGACCACCCCCTACGGCCCTCCCTCTGCCCTCTCTCCTCTTTCGGCAGTGCCTCACCTGGACTTGAGTAGCCCCTCTGTAGATGACCACCCCCTGCACGCAGCGGTCCCACTTCACTTCACAATGAAAACAACCAGCAATTCCTGTGCTTAGCAGGAGCCAGGCACTGCCCTCATCACTTAATGTGAACTGGCTCATTATATCTCATTACAGTGCTAACACTTGGAGGTAGTTACTGATCTTATCCCCATTTTATAGACCGGAAAACTGAGGCAGATTCTCAGTAACATACTGAAAGCACACGGCTGATACCAAACTCGAACTCTGGCTCCAGAGCCCGCCCCATACCCTCTAGTTTAAATACCCAGATACTAAATCCACCTGGGCTTGACATCCCGTATCTAACTATCCTAACTGGCATATTTACCGGTAAATGCTCATGAGAGCCCCAAATCTGTATCTGATTCCATTTTGGTTAAACACTTTAGTGAAAGGTTCAGTTACAGAGTTCCTCCTCAGGGTAGGGGTGAGATGGCTGCATGCAAATGTTTATGGCGTGATCAAAAGATGATCTCCTGCCTTTCTTTTTGGGTACTGCCATGGAGAAGGCTTGGGGAGCTTGTTGCAAAGTGCGTAAGAAACTCATTTGTGCAGGAGATGCCAGAACCAACACCGGAAGGCTTTTCAGCAGTCAATATTCCTGCTCTGTGAGGTGCCTAGGAGTGCACCCAATGGGTCAGGACTTGGTGCCAAGTGGAGAACTGTACTAGAAAATGTTCCTAATTTACACCTGTCCTTAGAAGAAGAAGGTGGAAATCTGAGATCATCAACTTCTGCTTCCCATCAAAACCAATTTATCCTGCTGGGATGAAACAGGGGCTGAAATGAAAACTCAGAGAAAGGAGTTCGCTAGCCCTGAGGCTTGGGGGAAAAGTTAGCGAGTTTTAACAGACGTCAGCTGCTACTGACAGTTGCAAACATCTGGAGGGAAAGGATGGCTACAGACCGTGTTCCTTAGAATAAGCTTCTCCATGTTCCCGAGGGAGAAGCATGATCAGACATAGCAGAGCTGACCATTCAGATGAGGGGCACCTGACCTGCTTTCCAGGCCGAAGTCAGGACTCTGTGCTGTGCAGCGGGCAGCTCCCCAAGGGGGAGGCACCTGGAGGACCCTCGGTAAGCCATCCCTAAGCCCCCCTCAGTCCTGATCACTCCCCTGAGGGTGCGGTCATTCTGCCCACCGTGTTGAGACCTCTGGTTCCTGGCTTGTCTCCTCCACTAGGCTGGACGCTCTCTGAGGGCAGGGGCTGGGGCTCACTCATCTCCAAGCCCCCAGGGCTCAGTGGGGGATTGGCAGCAAGGAGTGATGGGTGCATGCTGGCGCAAAGGATGAAAGGAGCAGGCAGGAGGGGAGTAAAGAGAGGAAGATGGGGTGCAGGAGGGAGAGGACATGGAGAGAGGCAGGCGAGAGAGAGGGAAGAAGAAAGAAGGGAAGAGACAGGAGAGAAGGGAGAAAGAGCTGGCGCCCGGAAAGGAGAGAAGGAAAGGAAGAAACAAGAACAAAGAGAAGAAAGGAGGAAATAACAGCCACCACTCAGCACTGCTCCAGGCCCATTCTGGGCGCTTCTTAACCCCTTTGCTCACTTCAGGGGGCAGCAGGCGGGCCAGGCCCCTTTCCCAGATGGGGAGACTGAGGCCAGGAGTCCTTGGCTGGAGGTGGCTCTGCTCATGAATGCTGGTGCTGGGGTACCCGCCTGAGCCGCCACCCTCCAGAGAGCAGGACGCAAGGCGGGGTACTCACCGCACAAAGAGCTGGGACACACTCGCGGGGGCGGATGTGGTGGTGCCTGGGGGAGAAAAAGAAAAACCGTGAAGGGCTTTCGATGTCAGAGTCACGCTCCGCAGAAGCTGTGGCTTCACACGCCAGCTTAACCGGGAAGAGACTCAGACTTGCCGCCAGGGACTTTCTCAAACACAAAAACTTAGGGTGACGTCTGAGCGCTCGCCTCAAAAACCCTTTCTGGGCACAGTTTGCAGGCTCTCACTGAAGCACCACATGCAAAGAATCTATAGCATCTTGAAACATCAGAGTGGAGTCCACCCTCCCGCCCACCCCAGAGACGACCTGAGGCCAGAGAGGCAGGACAGAGACGGGTGGGCCAGGTCACAGTTAGGACCTCAAGTCAGGTTTCCCAACTTCCAAACTGGTGCTGTCCCCACCCTGGGAAGGAGAACCACTCTCTCTCTCCCTCCAAGGCAACCCAAGGCCCCAGAATGGCAGACACCGGTTGGCTTTGACTGTCCAACATCCGTCTCCTTCTACCAATGACAGCACCGGGCGTTGCAGGCCTCCCTGTTTCTGCCTGCGTGGTACAGGTGGGGCCGGCCCCTTCCCTAAGGCACAGGCACATCTGGTGTCATCTCCTCGGCTCTAGGCAGTGTGGGGCCCAAGCTCCTGGTGCAGCTGCTGTACCCCTTATCCCTGGGCATTCGGGACCCAACCACTGCCCAGAGACAGTGACGCTGGGGTGATGGCGAAGTGATTGGATTAAGCTGGGAGAACATTTGCAAGAGGATAATTTTACAGATGGACAGATGCCCAGGGCGTATTTGTGCTGTGTCATCTTTAACGGCGCCACTCCATGTCCTCCTGCGGAGCCCAGCAGATCCCAGCAGATCCCAGATCACACATCTACCAACCGTAGCAACATGCCAGCCCCTGCAATGGAGGCCACCGCTGGGGTGTCCCTGTACCTCCTGAGAAGGGCCCCAAAGCCCCCAGAGCTCCGCGCCTCTCTTACCCCTGGAGCTGCAGGCCAGGTCAAGCAACTCCAATTCCAAATCTACCACTTAGTGTAATGAGACTTTGGGCAGATTTCCCAGAGTTTCTGGGCTGCAGAGTTCCCTCCTGTGGCGCGGAGGGTGGGGAATCTCACAAGGATACGTCAGGATTAAATGAGATGACGGTGGTGATGATGATAACGATGATGAAATCTATCATTTGTCTAGTGAACTACATTACCTGGGTTAATTATTTTAGTCCTGATGGTCCCTCCCAGGAGGAGGGTTCTGTTCATGTGCCCATGTTACAGAACCAGAGGCACAGAGAGTTCAAGTAACTCCCTCAAGGCCACACAGGTCATAAGGGGTGGACCGTGGTCTGAGCCAGACTCCCGGAGTTTAGCTCTGCAACTGGGGCTCGGCAGCGGGCAGTGACAGTCACCGTGATAACAGCAGCCAGCACCCACGGAGTCCACGGTACCCCTCATCTCGTTTAGTCCCCATGTCCGCGAGAAAGCCTGTCACTTTCCCACAGTAAGGATGAAAAAAGGGGGCCGTCAAGCTGCCCAGCCTGTGGGCTTAGGAGCTGGGGCTTGAACAGAAGAATTATTTAAATTCCAAACCATTTCCTTCATCACCTTCCTGGCCGAGTCCAAGAAAGGCAGTGTGAAATGCGTTTCTTCCAGTGCATGGTATTGAAAACAAAGTCGGGACAGCAGTGGTCTAAGGTCAAGGCAAGCCCCTGGCGCACAGTAGGTGCGCACTCAGTGCTAATTTTCCTCCTCAGGGTTTGCCGCCGCAGGCTGGGCCTCCTGCATCTCCTTCTTCGCCCTCTCGCAGGCCCGGAGAATGAATTGTCTCTTTCTAAGCAGCCACAGTCTCATTATTGGTAAAAACCCGTGATCTGGGTGTCTAGTTATACATAAGTTACTGAATTAAACATGTTGAATATGTTTCCTTTAATAAGTACGTAAATATTCATAAAAATCGAAATCTATGGAAACATTCCCATGGGCTCCGATTCGCTGGCATTCGATACATGTGAGGCAGCCTCTGCCCGGCCACCTCCGTGGCCTGATTTGCATGCTCCTCCCCGCCCTCTGTGCCTCCGAATTGTTGAGCATCAACCTCCCCCGCACGAGCAGGTCCCCTCTCGCCTGTGCAAACCTGCAAGATCCCCACCTTTCCCACCCAGCACCCCCGAGGGAGACCATGCCCCTGAGAAGCAGCGCTCGGTGGGCGCGGAGGGGTTTTCCTCCTGCAGACCCCGTGATTTCACCACAGGCTTGATCTGTTTCTGGTTTTTACTGGGATCACATGTAACTTTTCATCCTGGGCCACTGGGGGTGGTGGTGGGGGCTGATCAAGAACCTGGAAAATTACTATATTATATATAGAAAGGTCTCCTTCCCCGGCTCCCCGCCCCCCTCACCTTCCTTCTCTCCTTGGTAAGGATGGCGTAGGCCTCCTTGAGAATCCTGAAAGCAGCTGAAAAGGGAGGGCTCTTCAGGTGCTTTCCCTCCTTCGGGGGGTCTGGAGTGGGGCTGCGTCAAGAACAGAGATGCTCAGGGCTTTGGGTGCAGGGGAAAGAGGGGTGCGCCGGGAGCAGAGTGCCTCTTGGTGTCCCTGGTGCCCTTGCTGTGGTGCAGGCATGACGTTCTCAACAGCCATAGCTCGCCAGAGGGGTAGAGAGGGTGTGGACTGGTCATGAGGCCCCCAGGATGCCAGAGCATTGCAGACCCCGGGAGTGGGCATGCTGGCAGTCTGGGGGAGTGGCCATACTTCTCAGGGTCACCGCGTCACAAACACAGCGCTGTCAGCAGAGAGGATGATCCCTCCATGCCAGTCATCGTCCACAGGGGAGCACCGGGCCCCTGGTATGGTGGGAGCTGGTGCCCAGCAGATGAGAGGGACTTCCCACTGACCCCACATGCTGCACTTAGCCTCATCAGTGCCACTGACCTCGTCATCGTGGACGAGGCTGAGGTCGATGGAGAGGTTGCCATGATGACTTATGCCCACATGGCAGCACTGGCAGCAGCCCCAGTGACCTGACTCATCGCCAGATCTACTTACTCCCAGTCCCACTGCTGGCCTGCGGGGAGGCGGGGTGGCCGTCTCGTGCGGGGAGAGGCAGATCCTCCTCCATTCACTTCTGAGTTTAAAATCCTAAGCCTCCTTTTCCTCCCCAGCTTCCTATAGGTGCAGGGAGAAGGGTTAGCTAAGTAGATAGTCAGAGCCTCTGGGATAAGTTCATGCGTTTGTTCACTTGTTGATTCATTGCCTAGAATGTGCCAGGCGTGTGCTAGAGCTGGGCTAGCGCAGTGAGCAAAGGCAGGCAGGACGCTGCCCTTGCGGGGCTTCCTGTCTAGCAGGTGAGACAGAGGCTGACCTAATAATTACACAAAGACACACTTGATGACAACTCTAACAAGGGCCCAGGGATAAGCTGGATGGTATAGAACATAAGAGCACGGGAGCTCTGACACTCGTAGGATTCGCCCGGGAACCCCATAAAATGCAGACTTGGAGTCTGTAGGTCAAGAAGCTCGAGGCAGGGCTGATGCAACAGGCTGAGAAACCACCCTCTGGGCAGCAAGTTGAGACCACGGGCTAACAAAGAACAGCAAATTATTTTCAAAAAGAAAATCACAGTACTGGGGTCATAAATAAACATCTATTCTAGAAGTCACAAACTCAAACACATACTGGCGTCCAAGGAGGTCAATATGGGGACACGAAAGCTGGGGTCTGTGTGTGAACACACAGTTAGGTGTGACTGTGTGTGTGTGTGTGTGTTGATGTGAAGGAACTCGCCCGAGGACAGTTTGCTCACTGGTTCATGCATTTGACAAATGTTTATTGGCACCCACTATGGGAAGAGATCTGCAACCCAAATCTCATCATTTGTTAACCTAATTTTTTCCCAAAGAAAGCATGTAGGCTTATGGCATCAGACCCAAATTCAACTCCGGCCTCTGTTACAACATAACTGTGGGAACCCTCACCTGACACTTTCTTGCTCTCAGCCTCAGTTTCCTCATCTGCAAAAAGGGGTGATACCTTAGACCTACAGGATGCTGCAAGGATGCCAGGAGCAGGTACCTGCCAAGTGGTAACAACTCCACACAGGAGCTGTTATTAGTTCCCCATTCTCTTGGGGCCCTTTCTTAAGCCACTTAAATCCACGAGCCCAATTTGAATGTTCACACTTTTTTACCTCTCACTGGGAGGATTAAAGAAGCTAATGATTCTGAAAGTAGTAACCACTATTATGATGCCTAATTGGGCCCCAAGGGCTGCTTCTAACATCCCGTGAGTTCAGGCAATTTTGAGTGTGAGATGAGACAATTTCGAGTGAGATGATTTCGAGGGTGAGATGAGAATTTCTGGCGTGAGTCGTCACGAGGCAGCCTTTGCTACTGAAGGTGCATGTTTGTAAATGCTCAGCATAGCTCCCTCTTAGGGGTGGGAGGTTCAAGTGCTCCCAGATCAGTAGGAGGGAGCACTACATCAGGAGTTCAAAAGTGTGTGCCCCAATTTTGACTCCCGCTGAGTCTCTGGACCGCTCCTGAGAACTGGGAGGAATGAGGACCCCAGAGGCCAGAGAGCGAAGATTCCAGAGCAGATGCCAGTATGATCTTCTATTGAAATCATCACAAATCCGTTCTAATCATATTAGAACAATGATGAGACCATCGATGTCATGATTTTTCATTTCTGGGAAAGGTTTGAAGTCATCCTTTTAAGATGAATTGGTTGGAAGGGAGTCACTTTAAAGGAAAACCAGGAGGCGAGCTGGTGTGACTTTCTGGCAGAAAGTGGCCTGGGAGAGAGTGACATTTGCCCTGGGAGAGATGTCGCCATAGGGGGCAGGTCTGTACCCAAGGAGGCTCAGATAATTAAAGGGTGCCCTTTTTCATAAGAAGGGGATTCCCCACTCCCTTGAAACTTCACCAATACTCCACCAGGGTGGGATTTCTGTTCCATGCAGGTGGAGGTATTTGGGGAGGAGCTGAGCCCCAGGAATACAGCCCAGAGCCTCCCAGGAGAAGCTGACCTGTGGCTCCCCCTGGGAGGACCCGCAAAGCTCAACCTGACAGCTCAACCTGGCAGCTCAACCTGACTTGAATGAAGTGAGTCAAAAGAATCTCTTCAGCCCCAGGCTGGAACCCATGAGACTGAAACTGAAAATCAGACCTTGTCATGCCCAGGGCAGAGGGGGTCAGGAAGTCTGAGGAAACCTGGCAGCCCAGCCTGTTCTGTGGGACGGTGATTTCACCTCTCCGAGGAAACACTTAATGAGATTATAGCATTGACATTTGCAAAATGTACCTGCATTTCAAAGAAAAAATTTTCTATTTAGCTTTGCTTTCTTAGTTCTGCAACTTTGCCCCCTTCTGGAACTCTCTTTCCAGAAGACGGGATACAATTCAAATCCAATTTTCCCTTGAATAATAATGATGATAGTTAATATTTCTCAGTTGGGTCCTACAAATCAGGGTTTTATCTCTTTTATTCCCCATTACAATGCAACAAGGAAGTTATTATGTATATTTTTCAGATATGGAAAATGAGGCTGGGGGAGTTAAGGAGACTTTACCAAGGATTCAAAGCCATTGTCAAATTCAAGTTATTTATGATTTCTAAAGACTGCACTGTATTCACTCACCCATCTACCTAACCTTCCACCTCCACATCCATCCATCCACAGTAAATAATTTTTAAGGATTCACATGCACATGGGCCACACAGGCTAATTAGCTGTGTGCTAATTAGGAAATTTAAATACATATATAGGAATAAAAAATTGTCTTTGCACTGGAAGAATTCAGCATCCAGAACAATGGCCTCAAACTTCAGTGCACAATAAACTTATCTATAGAGCTTTTAAAAATATCCCATTGATGGGCCTCCCTGGTGGCACAAGGGGTTAAGCACCGCACTATGAAGTAATCCACAGCCTCTGCAACATGAGTTCTATCCCCGGTCGACCAGGGAGAAACCCACATGGCGAGGCAGACCTCTCCTGTCTCGCCTGCTGCTCCCCTCAGCAGTGAATTTCAGTCAATCTGCCTGTTGTTCCCCACTCTGTCTCTGGTGAATCCTCTCACCCTCCCCCCCACATATCTGGCCTGTGCCCCAGCTCTTGTATGCATAAATAAATAAATCTGTAAAAAAAAAATCTCCCATTGCCCAGGTCATACTCTTGACTAATTTAATCAGACATTCTGGAAGTGGGATCTAGACTTAATGTTAACACTTTCCCCCAAAACTTCTCAGGGAGTTCATTGTGCAGCCAGGTTTAAAACCAGTGCTAGATCCTGGTTCCCAGATGTGGTCCCTGGACTGGTGGATTACCATTACTTGGGGCTTGCTAGAAATGCAAATTCTCTGGCCCCAGTCCAGAACTTTATGGAATCAGAGATGCTGGATGTGGCCTCTTTGCTGACAAATCTTCCAAGGTGATGCAGAAGAGGGTTTGAGCACCACTCACCTAGATCCTGACTACTCATAGAAGCACGGGAGCTTGTTAGAGATGCAGATTCTCAGACTGGATCAAATCTGCAATTTAACCAGGTTCCCAGGTGATTCTGTGCTTATTAAGAGGTAGAAGCACACAACTAATTTCCACTGAGTGTTTTTAAGCAGCTGCAGCACCCTTAACAAGATTCCATAAAGTCTTTTTAGCCATAGGCCCACAGGTAGGTTACTCTATCACGTTCCTGTTTTATTTCTTTACAGAAATCCCCACTACCTAAAATCCCTTATTGGTTGAAAAACACAGTAATTGCCACTGTCACTAGCACCAAAGTTCTGGGCAGGAGACTGTCTTTTTTACCATCACATTCCTGGCAGCCACACCAGGGCTGGCCCAGGGCAGCCAGTGCAGTCTAAAGCAAATGCATGCAGAAAACTGTCTGCATCACCTGGATGAGGAGACTGAGGCTCAGAGAAGGGTGGGGACCTGCTTTGTTTCATACAGAGAACAGATGACAGGGCTGGGAGACACACGTGGCCTGGCTGAGCCCAAGCCCGCTGGAGTGACATGTGGTGACCATGGGGGTGGGTGGGTGCAGAAAGTGCCTTGGGAGCAGAGTGGCTGACCCCACCCTGGGAGCAACTGCTTCTAGGAGCAAAAGAAGTGAAAATTACCCTCGGTGTTCATCTGCGGGGGCGCAACTGAATGAGCTGGAGGCACAGTCACTCTTTGGCATGCTATCCAATTTAAAAAAAAAAAAAGGCTAAGTGAATGAAGCAACTAAACACACACACAGATCTGGTCGGTGGCAGAGCTGAAAGCAATGGGGGGCTCTGCGGGGGCCCTCAGGTCCAGCTCCCCTCCACAATCCCCTAAGTGTAATCCCACAATGGGGTCTTCCCTGGAGCTGGGCCCCTGCACTCACTCGGTGAAGACCCCAGACCAGAAGGAAGGACCAGGGGTAGGTCACAGGCTGGGCAGGAAGAGAGTGGCATGAGGGGCTACAACCTGGGTGGAATACCCCCCGCAGAGCCCCAGAGAAGTGTGTGCATGCGACTGACCCCAGGCCCCACCTGCTCTGAGCTTGACCGCAACCTCTCTCTACCCTTGTGCTCTGCCCCCCAAGCCTGACCTCGGCAGGCAGTTTGCACATAGGCAGGGAAGGGGCACAGAAGGAGAGTGATCGCCTGCTTTGGGTGATGCCACCACAGGGGATGGAGTCTGAGGTCTGGGACCCTTCAGAGCTTGGCAGAAGTGATCATGGAGTTTAGACAAGGGGGCCCTGGAGCCTGAGCATGTGGGTCTGGTCCTTGAAAATGCCACTTGTTGTGCAACTTTAAGCTGGTTGTGCGACTTCCCCATGAACCAATTTCCACATCTGTAAAGGTGTAATATGAGCCCAACATGAGAGAGGCCACGAGCACATACCATATACATTATATTTAGTATATTACATATGTAATATTTAAGTATGACTGTAATAGTTAAACGAGGAACCGTACAGTATCTGATTAGGAGAACAGATTTTGGAATCAGCTACCTAGGTTCAAATTTTGACTTCACGTAATTATGTCATGTTGATGAAGCTACCTCACCCCTCTGTGCCTCAGATTCCTCTAAAATGTAAAATGGACTCAATAACCATGTCCACTTCTTTGAGTGGTGGGAAGTGAGTTAACACACTACTCCCTGGCACAGAGAAGTGTCAAGTGTTTCTTTGTGGATGATGGAGATGGAGGAGGAGAATCGTGTTGTACTTGGCACCAAGTAGGTGCTCACAAAAACTTAGGAAGAAAGCGTGAGGCAGGGACTCCTCCAAGGGACCGCGGTCCTCAGCTCCCACTAGTGGCAGCTGGGCAGGCAGGGGATGCTGCATTTCTAAGGTGCTCAGTATTTCAAGAGAAATGAGAAATTCTGATTTCTATATGAACTTTCCCAATTTTGACAAGTTTACGTCTACTTAAAACATGGTGTATGCCAAAGGCACACCTGAGGACCGGACTTGGCTGTGAGCTGCCAATTTGCATCTGCGGTTTCGAATTCACAGTGGTTATTTGATTCAGAGGAGAGCCACTGTGGAGCAAGTTTAACTATTTACCATGCCTGCTGGACGTGCCAGGCGCTGGACATAATATCGGCTCAGTCCTTGCCATCAGCACGCTAGGGAGGGTGTCAGGAGGAGGCCGCCCTTGACTGGGGAGAAGCCCAAGGTTACGACCATGGCCCACGATCGTTAGGCTGGGAGGCAGTGTGGCTAGGATTCAGACTCGGCTCTTCCTTGCTCAACCGTATAGGATTTTTCCTGTCTCCCTTGGCCCTGAAGTGAAGGCAATCAGTGCTTTCCTTCTGCCTCTACTCAGAAAGAAAAGGGTGGCTGTCTTCTAACAGCGTGCTCAGACAGTGTTCTCAAACTCTGAAAGAGCCCCGAGTCATTTCCACGGATGTCTGAGAATGCCGGGGGTGAGGAGGCTGCGCTCTTTCTGGGGCAGTTTTGACCTGGAGCCCGGGCCCCCTCAGTGAGCACAGTGGTTCCCACTTCGTAGCCAGCCAAGCAGGGAGATGGCACTGTAGGTGACAGCAATAATTGCTTCCCGAGCCTCGGGCTGCTCAAAAGCAAATCTCTTGTGATCTTACATTTGACCAGATACAAGTCTCTTTGGCTTTCCACGACAGCTCTGAAGCACCTGTGCTCTCGAGTTGTCATGAAACGCAGACCGTGAAAGGAGAGGCCGCAGAGCTCTCAAACTGCAGCAAATCCAAAGCTGGTCAACTAAAGGGTTAAGCCCAACGGTTAAAACATAATAGCTTAATGCCTTTTGCTAACCCTGAGCTCTACCAGGAAGGCTGACAGATCCCAAACAGAGCAAACAATAGCTGGAATTGTTCTGGTGAAAACTAGTCCGGCTGCCTCATTTGCCAATAATTTTTAAACAGCTTAACTCTCCTCTGCTTCCTTGATTCCAACCCAACCTGAAAGCAAAAAGCAGCTGGGATCTCATCCCAATGTCAAAGCCCGGTAAACAGACGCCTGTCTGGATGCGGCGCTGACGGGAGAGCCCAGCGAGGAGTCGGAGCTGGGACAGACCCCGCGGGGCACGCCCAGCCCCCCGGGAGCACATCGAAACTGACTATTCTCTGTGGAGGTGTCAGCATTTCTTGGAACGGGAGACCAAGACAGGAAGTTCAGAACACGAACGAGCACACCTTTACCTGTAACGACTAGACAAAATTGTCAGCAATGTCTGCCTAAGTTTTGGTCCAGAGGCAGCAATCTAAAGGGCGGGAGGGGAACCTATCACGGAACGAGGGGACCGTCGACAGGATGCGTGTCTAAGGCTGCCAGCCCCTTACTCTATTCCAAGGACGTGCTGGGACCACCGCCGTCCGCCAGTCCCACCAGGAGGCCTACCTTCTGCGTCACTCAGAGTCCAGACATCGGCATCAGCGCAGTTAAGCTTCAGTTTACCCGGACAGTCGCTGTTTACAGTAAGGCTGGGTGAGATCACTAGTTCTAGCATTTCCTTGTACCTGGAAGAAAACAAAGGGAAATATAATTTATTCATTAATTATGCATGCTTACTAATGATTCCTTTTTCTTTCCCTAAGAGTATAAATATTAAAGTTGATTACCTAAACCCAGCCATCTTATAAATTCTACATAATAAAAATTCACTAAACTTTTCATCAAAGGGAAATGAAGAATGAAAATGAAGTACTTGTTCCCCTCCGGAGAATACACCCACTTGATTAAAACTTTCCCCTCCTTCAGACTGTATTTTGCCATCAGAAAAATTATGTTTTAGTCTCTTTCCAATGTCATCTAAATGAGTTGGAGCCAGCCAGGAAGACCTCCCAGAGGAGAAAGCAGGGAACAGGTAGCATTTGGATTTGGATTCCCAGAGGCTTGCGGGGGAGACAGGAATTGACTGCAGTTAAGAGAGAAAAACGGACGCGGTGTTACAAGGAGAAAGCCCCAAAGGTGCCAGCAATGTATGACAAGTCCCTCTGGGCAGCAAACTCCACAGTCCATCACTGTGGTCCCTACCGAGAGAAAACATCAGCTTCTGAATTACTTACAACTTTGATATAAATGTTATGGCGAGGGAGGAGGGGAGCATAGGGATGTGTGTCTTTGGGACATTCTCATTTTGTATTGGAAACTTTTCCAACTCTTGCATCATATCATTACTTAATGTTCTTAAATTCCTACCCACCATGGTTAGGAAGCAAGCTTTCTGGCTAATACCCAGAATATCAAATGTGGCATACCTGTTTTTCAGAGGATGAAACTACAACTGTATTGTTTGACATTGATTCAAGTTGTTCTCAGAGAAGGTTAAGCTTACTGATAGTGCAGCCAAGGTCATCGAGGGCAGGATCCATTATCATTGTTAATAAAAACGATGTACTGATTGATGGCAAAGTGGCTAGAAACTCAGATACTATCGTGACTAGGTCATGAATTCAAATTCCAGCTTTGCTACTCACTGCTTAAACAAGTTACTAAATATCTCAAAGTCAAAGGTTCTCCTCCCTGAACATTGGGGGAATATTAAAGTGTCTCTTTGACAAGATTGGTGAAGATGAAAAGAGATAATGGAAAGAAGGGACTTTTAGTAGGTAGTCACCTAAATGCCTGTTCACTGCCACAGGCAGTATGCTCACTATTGACAGTATGCTCACATACTGGAATACAATATAGCAGTGAAAAAGACTTGACCAGAGTACCATACAGTACCATGGACAGACTGCCAAACAAAGAACTGAACAAAAAGAAGGGCACCCAAGTTATAATACCATTTCTATGAAGTTCAAACTACACAAATCAATATAATAAACATTGCTTAGGATATAGATACATGAAATAAAAAGATAGTAGTATGCTTAGGAATAATAAACACCGGTTTCAAAAGGATGGCAAAGTGGGGTAGGAAGAAAATGAAGTTTGGGAAGAGGCACCCTGGGGACTTCAACTCTATTTTAGTTCAGGGGTTGACATAAACTATGGTCCCTCCAAATCCAGCCTGTCATCTGTTTTTGTGTGACCTCGGAGATTAGAATGATGTTCTGTTTGTTTAAATGGCTGCGGAAAAAAATCAAAAGAAGGGTAGCACTTCATGACATGTAGAGATTGTATGAAATCCAAATTTCGGTGTCCTTAAGTCCAGAACACAGCCTGTTTGTTGTTATACCATATTATTCTCGGCTACTCTTACACTGCAAGTGTTGAGTTGAGTAGAGGAGAGGTTATAGACTTGCAAAGCTGAAAATAGTTACTATCAGGCAGAAAAATCTTGCCAACCCCTATTTTAATCTATAGGCAGGGTGCCAGAAAATTTCATATTATCCAAACTCATTCCTCTCATCCTTTTGGATGTATGCAAATAATTTAAGTTTAAAAAATAAACAATGAGGTATAAAAAAACCGCATAGGTCCTTAAGCATCCAAATGCTATGAGTATGGGTGTTAGAGGCAGCAAACTGTTAGCTAAATGACAAAGTCTAGTTAAAAACAAAATGAATTGTTTACTCACCCCAGGGGATTTAAAAATATTTAAAGTACTTGCCAATATTTAAAAATAAGGCATTTTTACATAAAAATCTAGATTTTTAGCTACTCTTGAAAATAGAAGATGATTATTATATCCCTGCATAGCAACTATCAGCTGGGACTGAGTTAGTGCTGCCCAATTTAGTGAAGACATATGGGCTCTAGTTTGCCACAGTCCTTACCACTCCCTAGTGTATTGCATTTGACGTTCTTGTTCCATTTATTTTTCCTTCTGGTCCCTACAGGCCTTTACATTTGAGACCCTGGCATATATATCATCAGGCAAATCTGACAAGGAAAGAAAGAGTAATAGGACCCTTCGAGCCTCCATCACAGAGCTTGTTTGTTTTACTGAGTATTGCTGTCATCCTCAAGCACTCTTGGCACATCCAAGAGCATTGTTGAAATGAGAGCACAGCAGGAATGCGCTTGTGAGTTTTAACTCTAGGACAGAGTATTGCTGCTAAAGCACTTGGTGTATTTACCTTAGAGACTTGCTTTAGATTCTGAAGGCCAAGTCAACATGGAAATCATCTTCATTTCCCCCATAGCACTTGACATAGAATCTTGTTCATTGTTATCTGATTAACATCTATTGCAGGATAGGAGGAAGGAAGTGAGGGAGAGCAGGGAGGGTCCGTGAAGGTGGGAAGAGAGAGGAAATCTATAATTTAATGATTAACTTCTTCCAACAAGATTTTATTTTATTTTATTTTTTTAAGATTTATTTATTTATACAAGCACTGGGTACAGTCAGAAGTGCAGGAGGGTGAGAGAATTCACCAGAGCCAGAGCGGGGAACAGAACAGGCAGACTGACGAAATATACTGCTGAGGGGAGCAGCGGGCGGCAGGAGAGATCTGCGTGCCATGTGGGATCCTCGCCCGGCAGCCAGGGATTGAACCGGCGCTGCAGAGGCTGCAGGCAGCTTCTCATCCAGCACTCATCCGCTGCGCCACTGGGGAGGCCCTTCCAACAAGATTTTAAAAAGTCCTATTTATCGTCACTTTCCAGCACACCCTAATAACAATGACCCTAATGCACTAATTATGTCTCCTTGTAACGATGCTGTGCTATTTTATGGATGACATGTTTTAATTGACAAGAATGGTGTTGTGCATGAGATCTCATTCTATTTATTAAGCCTTTTACTCAGTCTTCACTACGATTTCAAAACACATGCATATTGTTGGATAGCTATCTCTCTTGGTGCTAGAATTCCACATGGTATTTATTCATTGTCCTACCAATGAACATCTAGAAAGCCTTCATCTCTCAGCTACCATATACAATGCTGCAGTGAACATTTTCATTAAATACACATACACACACACAATATCTAAATATGTATACACACATTCTTAAAATGTATATGTATTTGAGGAGAATATATGTGCCATTGGGTATATGTGAATTGATCTTGGCCTGTTACTAAAAGATTGTTCTTCCTCATTCCTGTGCTAATCTAGATTCTCACAGAAATACGTGAGGTTTCCAGTTTGCTAAATTCCTGCTAACACTCGACATTGCCTAATTTTCTAATTTTTGCCAAGTTGATGGATGGAAAGAAGTATCTCATCCTTGTTTCCATATCTGTGACTACTCGTGAAATTGAACATGTATTCACATGATTGTGATTATGTAAATAACATGGACTTCTGGGAATTGTATTTATATATTTTGTCCTTACTGATCTACTGGGTTTACTTTATATTTCCTTTTCTCATTGATTTGCTAGAGTGGCTGGTAGAGTCTATATATTAGTTCATCATTGGTTTTAGACGCTGTAAATTTCTTTTCTTCATCTTTCATTTGTCTGTTTACTTTCTTTATGGTGTATTTTGTAGAACAAAAATATTCTTACATATTTTCCCTGTAATTTCTTTTTTTCTAAGTATAAAAATTACTTCTCTATACCTATATTTTAAGCTATTCATTTAGACGTTTACTTTTCATATTTAAGTCTTAGTTCATTGCAGTCCTTCTTATTCAGTCAAAAGTTGCATTTTCCTGCAATATTAGAAAAAATTAAAAAGAAGTCATTTTTCCTAAGTGTATTAAACTATCCAACTCACCTCACCTTCTAGTTATGATGGGATAGTTTGTATTTTTGGTTGAAGACCACAATCACAATAAAAATAAAGGCTACAAAAATGGCTTTAAGACATTGGAGGGCAACCACAGCAGGGCTTGAGGGCCTACAGCCCAGAAAGATGAGGTGGGCACTGTGAAGTCTGACTCTACCGCTTCCCCCTCAAGACAATTACCAGTTTACAAGCACAGAAGAAGAAAGGAACAGCTTAAAGTTTTCATTGGGCTGGGAGATAAAAATTGGAATTCAAAGCTATTAAGGCAGCTAGGATACAAGGAGTAAAGGTTATAGAAATATAAAAACCACAGAGAAGTGAGCCTGGTTTGTTGACAATTGTTACCTTGGAGGTGTTTACTGATGCATAAGCTGGATGGGGCAAGAGGTGTAGAAGCTGAACAGAAAGGGGAAGCTAAGAAGGCAAGAAATGAAGCAGAGCTTTTGGCAATCTCCTAGCACTAAGGAGGCAAAAATTGGAGTTCACGGGCCATCAAGGGTGAGAAGCCTTGGGAAACACACCAGGCTTGTAACTGGGACCCCTGGGAGGTTACTCCCTTGGAGTAAGGACAAACCAAACAGATCCTACATTGAGTCATTGTAATCCCTCATTGGAGCAAAGTGACTTGCCTCTACTATCACTACCTGCCAGAAGAAAAGTAACTTTTCTTTGGGGGAAGATATCATCTTCCAGAGTTACCACAATTTTTTATACACAGTGTTCAGCATCTAATAAAGAACTGCCAGGCATGCGAGGAGACAAGAACCAAATGATCAAAAACCAAGACAAAGAAACAAGCCCTATATAAAATTCAGCTATTTGTGTTATCAAATATGGACTTTCGAACAAACTTGATAATATGATCAAGAAAACAGACATAAGGTGGAGAA